ATTCGTTAATTTACTTCTGTCATTATTTAAACAGATTTCTTTAAGATAGTCCTCTAATGTATTTTAAAGATCCGTTTAAATAATGACAGAAGTAAAAAAGAAAATATTTTTAAAGGCCGTTAAATATAAAGCAATTGTTACAGAATAGACCCCTAAGTCGTTTTTGGAATTTTTATTTCTTTCAGGAAAAAAATAAACCAAAGTTAGGAATTTGTTTATAACAAATTGTTAACTTAATAAACAATGGAACTATTAATAAAAAAAAATTATTTTGCTGTCACTTTGTAGAGGACTGTCAATTATGATTAAAAAAAAAAAAAACATTTCCTAACTAATAATTTAAACAATATATTAAAAAAACGATTATAAACAATTAAAAGTTATTATTAAGAAAAAAAATTTGTTTCAAAAATCATCATTGGCAATTGTCTAGAAAGTTGTAAAAAAAAATTTGAAAAAAATTGAAATACTCCATTTGTTTATAAAAAATTTATAAACAAATGGAGGAAAAAATTTTTTTTTTAATTAATAAAGGTCTTTTCTCGACATTAAAACAGTAATATTATAATAAATTGAAAAAAAAAACCACTGTGACTTTTCTGTTATTGTAAACTTTAAAAAATTATTATAAACAAAGTATTAAGATTTTTTAAACTTTTATGAAGCTATTATATGTATATGTTACGGTTAAAGTGTTTACTTGGCTAGTTTATATACTAGCTGGATAGAATACAAACTATCCAAATGTCCTGCTATTTTGATGGAAAATCATATTTCTACTAAAATAGCTATGTATATTGGTCCGTTTGTATACTAACCAGCTAGTTTACAAACTATACAATATTTATCGTCAAAGTACAAACTACAAGAAAAGTACACAAATTAACCGGTATTTTCGGCTAATTTATAAACTATCCACAGTATTTGGATAAAGTGTGAATTTAATATTCGTAGTAATACATAATAACCAGCTCGTTGGTTAGTATGTAAACTAACCAATGCTCTTTGGTTAATTTAGTTTAGGATAATAAAATAATTTTTGATAAAAAATAAAGTTTATTTATAGGTATAACATTGCTACTACTACTTAAAACTAAGTAAAAAACAAAAAATGATGTAAAAAAAAGACAAAATATTAATAAAAAACTTTAAAACATTGCAATCACAAAACAACGAAAATTATTATTTATTGGAGCAAGGTGCACTGTTGTGGCACTTGCTGTTACACATATCCAGAGACTGAAAATTTTCCTGCAGCGCTTTGTAATGTTATTTCCGTGTCTGTCTTGATATTTTTTAACTTTATAAACTGTTGCTTACATATTTCAAATTCGTTGCGGGAAAACAGTTGTTTAAGAACACCGTGAACAGTTTCAATTCGGTAAAATTCATCTTCTACGCTCATTATTACGCCCAATATGTTTCTATGATCTGACCGACTTCGGTCTACGTCTGGAATGGGCACTCTCACGGACGTGCCGACAGTTCCTGGTTTAAACTTCTTCAGAGAAGTTTGTAGCATTTTATTTACTTGCTTTTTTGGACTTTCGTGGCGTGCATCTCTTATCGCTTTAATATTGTTTTTATTTTGATAATGGTCACATACATTTTCTTCAAAACATAATGTGCATTTCTACTTTGATAACGGTTCATTGAGAGCATTTTCAGTTGTTTCAGTACCTGGATTCATTAACCTTGCTTGTTCTTTAATTAAAACTGAAGTTTCATTGTTATCTTCGAGAAAAACTGAAGTTTCATTGTTATCTTCGAGTAAAATTGAGGTTTTATTGTTATCTTAGAGTAAAACTGGGATTTCATTATAATTATCGAGTATAACCAGCTTAGCATTTTCGATAAAACCTGAAAAATATTAGGTTGTACTGGTTTCACAATACCTTTTTTTGTTTTGTTCCGTTTGAGCTGACAGGTTTCGCAAGTTTCAATAAATAATTTTACCGTTTCCTGCGTTAAGTTATAATACTTTTCATTTAATAATTTTGTTGTTGCCTGAAGACCTCCATGCCCAGTTGATGGGCAGCTTTAATGGCATCATAACATTCACTCAAACGTAAAATAATCTTTCCAGATTTTTCATGTAAAATTACATAAGTTGATTCGATTCTTTGTAAATCATAAGTATTTACCACGTAATAATCATTTTTGATACTCGTGTTAGGTCCAGTTTCACGTATTCTTTTTATACATTGCAAAAGTTCACTGTAATCACTGTCATTCATTAATTTTGAATTTTGCGACTTTTGTTCGTAAACTTCTAAAAGTAGGTTTTCAAATTGTTTCTGTTGATTCATTTTTATTACCTTCTTCTTTAACAAATTTTACGAAACACCACAGTAGTAAACAATAATAACAACACACACTTGCCAGCCATAACTATAACCTCACTTTTCTAATAAATTAACCAAAGATGATTGGTTAGTTTACATACTAACCGACGAGCTGGTTATTATGTATTACTACGAATATTAAGTTCACAATTTAACCAAATACTGTGAATAGTTTGTAAACTAGCCAAAAATACCGGTTAATTTGTGTACTTTTCTTGTGGTTTGTACTTTGGCGATAAATATTGTATAGTTTGTAAACTAGCTGGTTAGTATACAAACTAACCAATATTCATAGCTATTTTAGTAGAAATATGATTTTCCATCAAAATAGCAGGACATTTGGATGGTTTGTATACTATCCAGCTAGTCTATAAACTATCCAAGTAAACACTTTAACCGTAACATATGTTAAAAGAGCTCCACGAAGCAAAATTTACGGTAATTATTTAATATTTTTATCAATTTGTAATGATGAGAGAAATTCTAAAAATTTTGTTAATTAACAATAACCTACTTTGTTGGAAAATTTATTTTTATGAAAAATTCCAACGGGAATAAATTCTTCTATTTAGAATACACCGTAATTTTTTAAAATTTTTGAATTTAATATTATTAACTTAAAAAAATTATTTTATGTAACGTACTCGGTTTCGGCGCCGTGCGCGCAACCTAAAAATGGCGCGCGGAAGGCTACTTTGAGCGTTAAATTAAAATTATAAATAATGGAGGTGCAGTTTCGAGAGTCGAAACTTATTTATAGCAAATTTCTTTTTCTTTAAGGATCTTTTTTGAACAATCCAAAAATATTTATAGTTTACAAACTATAGGCGAAAAACCAAACACTATGTTTTTGAGGTGTTTAATTGTTTATAACTTTTGCAATTTTTTATGCACTGCAAAATTTTTCTTCACACATTGATCTAGACATTATTCCGAATCGAATGAGCTATTGAGCATAATTTTCGTAATAGTATGTCACAAAAATGCGCTTTTGAACTTGTTGATTAGACTATTAGTTTCATCAATTTTCTGAATGAAAAACTCTAAAAACTTGTTAATTTTTCCGATAAATGCAAGCAAAGAAATGTTTTTATGTTAGTAGATAATTAGCTTAAAATGAGCCAAAAATTTTACCCAATCTAATTTTTTTGTTTTCTAAATGTTTTAACAAAAAACTCTATAAACTAGTATTGTCAAGCTAGCAGAATTCTTAATTTTTTCGATAAATACCAGAGCGGAAATTTTTTTATGTTAATGTAAAATGAGCCTAAAATTATACTGTCTCCCTTTTTAGATTTATAATTTTTTTTAAAGGAAATATTCTACAGTATGGTTCAAATGGAAGGAATAAATTCATTATAATGGAAGTAGTTGGTTTTTCGGAAAAATGCTCGGACAGGTCAATTTTGTTTACTTAAAGCGCAATTTTTTAAATAAAATTCAATTTTCCCCCACTTCCCATTTTTGGGCAGTGACGTCATTGACAATTTTTTTAAATAGCAACCCCAATTTTTTTTTCTTGATTTTGATAGATCTTGCAATTTCCTACTCGGAAACGTAATATTTGAAATATCTGACAACAATTTTTTTTGAAAAAAAGTCATTTCAAGATCAGATACATAAATTTTATGTTATTTTGAAACACAATAAATTAATAAAAGATAATTATTTGTAATTAAGTGCTTAATTTAAAAAATAATAATAATAATAAAACGAATTTAATGACAATTTCACAAATTCTTTTTATTATTATTATTTTTATTATTATTTTGTTAGATTAAGCATTTAATTACAAATAATTATCTTTTATTAATTTATTGTGTTTCAAAATAACATAAAATTTATGTATCTGATCTTGAAATGACTTTTTTTCAAAAAAAATTGTTATGTCAGATATTTCAAATATTATGTTTCCGAGTAGGAAATTGCAAGATCTATCAAAATCAAGAAAAAAAAATTGAGGTTGCTATTTAACAAAATTGTCAATGACGTCACTGCCCAAAAATGGGAAGTGGGGGAAAATTGAATTTTATTTAAAAAATTGCGCTTTAAGTAAACAAAATTGACCTGTCCGAGCATTTTTTCGAAAAACCAGCTACTTCCATTATAATGAATTTATTCCTTTCATTTGAACCATACTGTATAATCTTATATTATCGAGCTAACAGTGCACCAAATTTTTCCAATAAAGAGAGAAAAATTTTTATTTTTGTGTAAAATTAACCTAAAATTGGCCTAATAGTATAGCGTCATTAAAATTTGAAAAATCGGAAGTTGCTCTGCTAGCTTGATATCAAGCTAGCAGGACACCAAATTTTTTATTTACCCTAAAATTATGACATACTCAGAATTTAAAAAATCCAAAGGTGCTCCTCTATCTTAATACGTATACAATGACTTTATTTTTAAATATTTAACGACATTTTAAAAATTTAATTTAAACATCTCCAAACTTTTTTATTATTGCGATAAACAGCTGACTCAATACACGCATAATTCACGTTTCAACCTAATCGTTAACTACGTATAATCTATTTATAAATATTTAAAATTATACCAGATGAATAATAATAACACCTTTAAAAACTTACTCGAAAAAACTTCACACAAACATAAAAAAATCACAATATCACAAAATAAACCGTATATATTTACCGCTGATAGTAGCTAAAAGTTGAGTTAACGTCCCTTTGAATTTGTGTTCATTTTTTTCCTTTTTTTCCATGTCCATTTTGTGGAACGGACTAAATTAATACAGGAGAGATATAGGAACTAGGAACTAAATTTTGAAGAGAAACAGGCTTAGCGGTCTGGGTCGTACGCACACATGCTTGAAACAATAATAAATTAGCGGCTGCTATAATATTGATCCGATTCGAACGACGAAAATTGTTTGTGTGAGTAGTCTGCTCGCTATACAGGGCGATATTGAATATCGTGCGGATATCGCACGACCTTAAACGTTTTTCGTTATCAAAAGTAGTTATTTCGGAATTGCGTTTTAGTTAGTTTATTAGTATTCATAAACTTTAAAATTTGTTTTAAATGTAACAAAACAGGGGATTCCTTTGCAATTATATTTGATAATACAGAGTGGGCTAAAAATAGCCCTAATAGAGAGATATTGCAAATTTCTACAACGTAAGCTACTAATAGTGACAATGTAATTAGAGGCAAATGAATAATAATAATATTAATAATAATGTTTATTTACAAAAAAGCAAAAATACAAATTTATTTTTAAAGGGGATAGATGTAAATAAACAATGGTGATATCGTAAAAACGATTAGAACTTGTTTATTTGCAACTAATGAGTGTTAGTAAAAAATATAATATATAATAACTTAATTAAAAATACTATACAGGGTGTCCCAAATAAGAGTGATCGATTTTAAATGTAAATGCACAGCTTATTAATTGCTCTAAAGAGATGGGCTTTTCACTAATTGATTTCGTTTATCCAAAAAATTTTTTTTAAGTTTGTTCACATTTTATCACATCAATACATGGTGATCCATTAATGGTGGTTAACTTGAATGGAAAAAATATGTATTATTTTATATGGAACACCCTGTATATTTTGATGGCATTCAAAAGAGAGATTCATCTACTTTTTAAAAGTGTATAGTTTGATATCTTTTATTTTCTTAACAACATAGATTTTCGAGTTTTTAAGTAACACTGCTGTTTTCTTTATTTAAAAACTGACATTAAATAAAATTAACAAAAAGAATTTATTCAGTAACAAAACATAATAAAAATTTATTAAAAATTAGAAAACAAACATTTATAATGAGGATGTAAAAGTTACAAAAAATGCTGTGTCTATCCTCTTGTTCAATGCACATACGCAAGCGAAATTTTAAATTTTCAAACGATTTTTCTAATATATCTGGCGGAATATTTTCGATATGTTCCTAATGTTATCTTTTAGTTCTTCTACGTTGTTAGGCTTAGGACTGTAGCATTTATCCTTCACATATCCCCAGAGAAAAAAATCTGGGACAGTTAGATCTCTCAATCGGTCCAGCTTGACCTATCCACTTTTGATTGAAAAAATTATTTAACGAATCTCGTGCTCTCATTGAAAAATGAAGTGGTGCGCCATCTTGTTGAAAGTAAACGATGTCTCTAATTCCATCTTAAACTAATTGTGGATAAAAAAACTGTTCCAACATATTCGTGTAATTTGACCTGTCACAGTTGGTTCCGTAAAGAAAAAGGACCATAGATTTTTCTAGGGGACAACCCACACCAAACGTTAACTTTTGGACTATCTCTTTCAAATTCATTAAAAGAAGTGGGGTTTTCAGAACCCTATATTCTGCAATCTTGTTTGTTACACATTCCACTAATGTAAAAGGTTGCTTCATCAGCCATGATTAATAACGTATTAGGTTTATTCCTGAATAAATCTAGTAAAGTCACGCATACACTTAGTCGTTTTCCATAATCTGACGGGTACAATTTTTGATAGGTCTGAATTTTATATGGAGTCAGTTTTAAAATTTTTAGACACCTTTGCACGTCACTTTTGGAAATTCCAGCAATCTTTCTAATCGAAATTCTGTAACTATTAGCTTGTAGCACTTCATTAATAGACAACAACTTTTCAAAAAGCGTTTCTTGTTTTTTTTAGGTGCGCAATGCAACCAGTTTCGCTAAATTTTACATGCCACTTTTTAATAATATTCTCAGAAGGGGGTTGTACCAAATTTTCTTCCCAATATTCTCCTTGTTCGAGAGATAGATTTAGTTTCTGCATAAATTTGCACAGTTTGAGCTTTTTCAGTTACTGAATAAATCATTTTGTAAGTGACAGTAAATTAAATTACTTCTGTTTTTATGAATTGTCAAATTTGTTGATTTTGTTGTCAACTTGTCATAGCAAGAGTTGATTTATTTTACTATGTATCAAATTATGTTCAAAGAAATCTGCATAAGAGTGTTTTACCTTCCTATCAAATAGGCAGATGTATGTACTTTTAATGAATTTGAAAGAGATAGACCAAATGTTAATGTTCGGTTAATTTTGTGTGTGTTAAATTTCAATTACGCATGTGTATTGAAGAGGAGGGTATACATAGACACATACAGCATTTGTTGTATCTTTTACATCCTTCATTATTAATAATTGTTCTGTAATCTATATTAAATTTTTGTTAGGTTTTGTTACTGAACAAATTCTTTTTGTTAATTTTATTTAATGTCAGTTTTTAAATAAAGAAAACAGCAGTGTTACTTAAAAACTCGAAAATCTGTGTTGTTAAGAAAACAAACGATACGAAAATATACATTTTTAAAAAGTAGATGAATCTCTCTTTTGAATGCCATCAAAATATATAGGGTGTTCCATTTAAAATAATACATAAAATAATTTTTCCAATCAAGTTGACCAACATTAGTGGATCACCCTGTATTGATGTGATAAAATGTGAACAAACTTGACAAAAAAACCTTTCGATAAGCGAAGCTGTGCATTTACATTTAAAATCGATCATTCTTATTTGGGACACCCTGTATATGTTAGCGGATTTCCCTATATAAAACTTCTGTACAAATGTCATCACAACCCGGTGATTTTTTATTTTTTAAGCAGTTAATTAGATTTAAAACTTCAGTTTTATTTATTTCTGGAAACACCATTATTTTGTATAGTTCTAGTAAACTTATGATAATTATTATTTACAATTTTTTTTAGCCAAATTCTTTCTCACTTTAGCAAACTGTACTGATTAAGGACTCGTAGCGGCTGTATCTCAGAAACTATTGATCCTACGGATTCGAAAAAAAAAAAAAAAAAATTTATGACAAAAACGGTCAAGAAAAAATGCTGGAAATTATTTTAAACTTTCTATTTTAACCGTTAGAGGGCGTAATTCGCTATGGTAATTCAAAAAAATCACTTTTCCCCTATAAATGTCTAATACTAGTATAATAATAATAATCGAACGGTAATTTTGATTAAATTTTACAAAAGTTTTATTTAACACTTTTTGCTCTATTCAATAAAATAACAGGTAGGGGCGATTGGGAACCTTAATTTAATAAATGTATTATAACTACGGTGTCGTTTATTAGATTTTAAAAAACTTTGTATCGATTAAAAGCAAATTGATTGTATAGTAAAATATTTTAAAATAGTTCTGATTCAGTTGTTTAAAAGAGCACTAGGTGGCGTTGTATAAGCAGTAGCCATTTTTTTGAAGTTTTCTTGAAAAATTTAAATGGAATGGAATTTTTATACGTTATTAGAATTAAATTCTGACAAGAAACAAAAAAAAACCGCGTCTTTTTATTTTTTTCCTAACCGAATATGAGCAAAAGTCTATTAAGGGTGAATAGTCCACTTAAATATTAATAAATAAAGTTATTGATATATTAATGAAGTTGGCTTTGAAATGTCAGTAAGCTTAAATGTCAAATTAATTATATTTTGATAAGTTAAAAGACATCATGCCTTACAGTAATTCCGAAGCTTATGACATGTTAAAAGTATATTTTGAATGTTTTAAGAACGCCCCGATTGCATCCAGAGAATATGCGTTGACATATCCTCAGCGAGTTTTACAAACAAGAGAAACATTTAAAAATCTGGCGATTCGTTTAAAAGAAACTGGCTGTGTTCAACCTAAAAAAGCTATTCAACGACGTAGAAGAAGCAGAACGGAAATTAACGAAATAAATATATTAGCTTACGTTGCTGCAAATCCACATATAGTATAAGGAAAATTGCTTCCGACTTAGGACTTACTTGGTACTGCGTTTGTTCTATTTTAAAACAAAATCGTCTCCATCCATACCATATAGCCCTTCATCAAGGTCTGAAATTAACAGATCATGATAAAAGACTGGATTATTGTAATTGGCTTAAGAATATGCTTAATGAGGATCCACAATTTTTATCACATATAATGTGGTGCGACGAATCTACATTTTCCAGTAATGGATCTGTAAACAGGCATAATATGCATTACTGGTCTGACCACAATTCTCATTGGATGCGAGAAGTTTTTAATCAAGGTCGGTGGTCAGTAAATGTGTGGTGTAGAATTTTATAAGGTAAAATTATAGGTCCTATTATTATTAATGAAAATTTAAATGGTGAGCGATATTTAAGATTACTGAGAGACGTATTGCCTATCTTATTAGAAAATATTTCACTAGAGGTACGCCGTAATATGTGGATACAGCAGGATGGCTGCCTAGCACATTATACAAATAATGTAAAAGACTTTTTAAATCAACATTTTCGGAATAGGTGGATTGGCCACCATGATCTCCCGACCTCACCGTATTAGATTTTTATTTGTGGGATCGACTTAAAGATTTAGTTTACCAAACTCAGCCTGTAAGTAGAGAAGATCTAATTCAACGAATACAAACTGAAATTGATCATATTCCTAGGGCTGAAATAGAAGCTGCTGTCAATTCAACTAGACAGAGACTTGATATTTGCATTGAAAAAGATGGAAAACAATTCGAGCACTACCTCTAATTCTTGTATTGCATTCTCTATTTTGTTCTGTGTTTAGTTACTTGTTTTGTTGTATTTTATTAATATATTAAATTTTTATTTCGCAATTAGTTTTATTAAAGCAGTAAAGTTACACACAAATATTCACATAAGCTTCAATCAACTAATAAATTGTTGTTGATATCATAAGTGGTACATTTCATTTTTATCAGTTATTTGTTCAAAATATTCATGAAGAGACAAAATCATCAGCTTATGATCCACAGGGTCTATAGCATGCCCCTGGAGTATCAACAATGGGCCTAATCAGGACTAAGTGATATGGAGAAACAAACGACGAAAACTACTAGGCTAAGTTTATTTTAAAAAATCGAATTACAAACAATTCCAGTGTCATCAACTTCAAAATTACATTCGGGAAGTATATTTGAATT